AGTGAGAAAAGCATTCCTTTACAATAGCAGTAACCAGAAAGTCAAAACAACCATATGTTCAGTAAAGGCAGCTGATCAAGTATTAATATATGTGTTGCAGAATTTTCTGACCCTGGTATATCAACAGGCATAGGGCACTAGCATAGGCTTCTAAATTATATCCTTCACCATATAACAGATTGAGTCTGCAGAACCATGCAGCTGGAAAAATTAACTACATACTGTTCCATATTCAGTGGCACAACAGTTCTTAAACATTTTTGTGCAAGGCAAACAGTGTTTGAAATATAAAAGGGATGAAGTGTTTAGTGGCAGCTACTTCTGCATCTTGAAAGCAGAAGCCAGCTGTTTGGAAGCAGCTGCAGTATATGGGGAAGATGAGCATCTACATGCAGAATTTAATAAGGAGTTACAATGTGATGTCCTAAATATGAGCACAAAATCTAAGAAGTCTGTCTTCTAATTAAAGAGAGTATTTCTGTATAAAAACTCTGAGCTCACAGAATTATGAGAAATGAAGTGAATAACTCTCGTTCAAATGTTTGACTAATATTTGGTCCCTAAAGGGAAAAAAAGGCTCAATACATCTCACAATCTTGCACATGTCTACTCAAAAGTCAATTTTATCGAATTCAGTTGCATTACTGTCAGGTAACAGGACATCAGGTTAGAGTCAGAAGGTAGTAACAATAGTTCTTATGGGCTAAATTTTCTTAAGTCACTCACAAATATTTCTTACTCTGATTATTATTTACTCAACCTTGTTCTTCCTTGTTTTTCTCTAGATAACATTATCAAAAGACTGTATAATATCTTGAAGTTTACTTGGGTTCTTTTTCTGGCAACAATAGACAGTTTTACAGCTTGGCTCAATTCAATTTCAAGAGAGCACATTGATATTTCCACTGTGCTAAGAATCGAAAGGTGTATGCTTACAAGAGAAATCAAGAAGGTAATGTGGCATGCCCAGATCATCTACATGAAGGCAACAAACAAGTGTGGGATTTCTGTCTGATTTTGGACTACCCTGTTGTTGCTAGATATTTGTATGGGCCTGTATAATTTTTAGTAACCATACTATATTTTCTTATTTTTAAACAGCTTTGGAAGCATGTTATATTCTAACAATCTCTTTGTGTTTTTACTTTTTTTGCTATGATAGAGGTTGAAAGAAAGATACAAATTGCTTCTGTGGTACCATTCTGAGAGTCCTGCGTTTTTAATATGCCTTATAGCTCTAACATTTTAGTATCCTTTGCTAGATTTCTTGTTCTCACCAGACAATCAACAGAATACAAAATGCCCTACTTGATCTTCTAAATTCTGCTCCTTCTTTCCTAGGGAAATGTTCCAACTCGAGAGAGTATCCATATGTATTACCAAAACCATATAATGAAACTTTCTAGGGAATCAGGATTGGATGAAATTTATGATGCTGGACAGGCTGAGAGGACAGCAAGTCTAGAATCAGCACCTTCTCGTGACAGTGAATCTAGGTATTTTGTTAAATTGTCTTTTGTGAACTGCCCAGAGAGCTTTGGCTATTGGGTGGTATAGAAATAAAATAAGCAAATGAACACATATTTATTGCATCTATTCAAATTTAGCTTAAAGTATCTGATCAGTGCTGGATGTTGTACATGAAACTTTTGCTACTGCTCTTCTGAGATCAGGATAGGTTATTCAGCCCCTGTTTTTCACCCATTTGTTTTGCTCATGTTAGAAATGACAATAACAAAATATTTCCATCTTGTCATCTGTTGTTCATGTTGCAATTTTCTTTCTCCAATTGCAACTCCCCACACCCCAGGCATGAAGGTTGTGGTGCTAGAGAGCCCATCTCCCCCCCTCACAGCCACAAGTGCTGCTGCCCGGAAGGGAAAAGCTTCACCACTGCCTGCACCTCTGGAATATCTCTCTGCATACTGATATTCTCACAGAGAGGTCTTCCACAGGACAAGGGCTTCTAGCCCAAGCAGATTCCATCATTTGGAAAGGTTCTGTATGTGTGTCTGTACTTGCACAGAGCTTTTTCACATGTTGGATGAAAGTGTGGACAGCAGGAAACCATTTTCACTGACTCTGGCAAGAGGCAGAGTTAGCCCACATCTCCTCAAATGATGTTGCAATATGAGGGGGTAGGTTCACATCAGCTTGACTTCTGCCAATGTAAGGGTATCTTTTACCTTCAAATGCTGTTATAACTGGTAGAAATAGAAAATGTTTAGCTCTACTGCCTTTTTTATTCCATTCCATAATGCTGTCACTCAGGCATCAGTTATTCCTGAATAATTTCTTTGGGTTGGATCTGGTGTTCATCAGTCATAATGCTTATGCACTGGGATGAAAAGGATAGGCAAAGTGATGGATACCTGGCACTTGTTTTTAATCTAACACAATTTGAGCTTAGTTTATTAAAAATAGCAGAAGTCCAGAATCAGAGGCAGTGTGTCTGTATATGCCAGTTGGGCAGGAGGTCACTGTTGTGCTACATCCTGTGTGTGGGATCCTGCAGGCAGCAGGAGTGCCGCAGTGTGAAAAGAATACTGGACGAAATGGACCACTCCAGCATGGGCTTTCCTGTGTTCTCAATTTTAAATACACTAAGCTACATATTTAGGTGTGGCTAATACTGTTATTTAAGACTGACCCACTGTCCCTCCTTTATTTGCCCATACTCCCTGCATGCAACATTTATAGCTATCTGCTGCTTCATTGCATGACTAGGGAAGCTGAAAATGATCAAGCACTCTCATGCTGAATGCTGCCTTACAGGCAGTCCTTGTGAAGCTTTACCCATATGAATAAAAAGCTTTCCTTAAATATCCATGAGATCCTCATATTCAGTGATCAACCTAAACATCCTGCCACTCTGCTGGAGTGAAGCAGCAATCAGTAGCTTGTTATCGGGTCAAATTTACAAGCCCTTTCTGTATGTACTCATCAAAACAACTTGTGTTCAATTAATCATGCAAGTCAGTACACTGCTTTCCTTCACGTTGATTTTTCTCTTACCAAAGTTATTTTAGTATATATTTCATTCTTCACAAACGTTTGTTCTAGTGGCTTAATCCTTTATTTTGTGGTTTTTTACTCACCTTTTCCTCTTGTTGTCTGTTTGCATTTCATCGAGTGTTGTTTCCATAACCTTAATTGCTTTACATCTCAGGATCATGGCATGTGCCTCTGGTGTCTTATTTTATTGAGAAGTAAAAGGAGATAAGGGCATTTACTGGCATTCTTATAGAAAGATTCTGTATGATGATTTTCCTATCTTTTGAAAATAACGCAATTTTTGAAAAGTAATATTTTTAATGATAATATTACCATAAGGTAAAATTCCTGTCTAGTTTAAAGGATTGAATAAATAGTAGCATACATAGCATAGATTTCTTTTGAAAGAAACTAGTAGGGGAGAAATTGCCTCCTTATATTTACATTATTAATTGTTTTAATAGATCCATGGTTAAAAAACTAGAAGCTGTTCCTAAACAGGTTTTTGCAGGAGTAAGTCTCTCTGAGTCCCAAGAGACTTACAGCATAGTAAAAATTCAATCCGAGTAGCCATTGTTTCTGATTGGCCCACTACTAACCTTATGCGGTAATCAGAACCTTCAGAATGTTGTCTTCAATAAGAACCAGGTTATGCTAGCACCAAAGGGCTTATTATCTCCTCTCTGAACATTTTCTGTCCATGTCTTCGTACTGTGCATGGCCAGCCTGCACGTTTACTATTGAACCACATCAGTATGCTGTTGAGATTTAACACTTTCTTTGTAACTGTTTGCACTGCTAGCTGCTGCACTGAAGCAACCACGCTGTTGTTGTCAAGGCAGTCAACCCTTGATGATTTAGATGGACCAGACCCCATTCCTAAAACAAGTGAGCGTGCGCGACCTAGGCTCCGTAAAATGTACAGCATGGATGTGTCCTCTTCATCAGCTGACAGTGGCAGTATAGTGTCAAGGTGCTTAACCCATGCATGCTTTGTTCATTCATTTACCCAGAGCTTTGTAAATGCTATCAGTGTAACAGGCTGCAAGTGGCGGGTGCGAGTGTATTTGTATGCTGGTGTGCGCAAATAAGTGTAGCTGCATACACAATCGAAGTGTCTCTCTCTTGTCTAGACTCAACCCAACATTTCATCCTCTGTTTGGGACTTTAGACCCTGTCAGTAGTTTTTACTGAATGCTTTAATTTTGTACATATGGTCATAGGTTTCTAAATCAGGTGCCTGATTCTCTGCTTCATCCAAGAGCTTGGAATGCCGCCTTCTGATTCTGGTTAAGACAGAATCCCAGATAGTTTTAGCTGCAGCAAATCTCATTGGTGACCACCCTGCACATTTTTTTAAAGGAGACTTACTTTGGTTAAGACAGAGAGGAACGTATTATTTGTAAGAGCAGGGGCGGGGTGGGAAAAGCATGCAACCTTGTGGTCTACTCCCAGACTCTCAGCTGTAGTTGAGGATGTCTGAACTGGCTTGGTGTTAAAGTCCAGCAATGGAATGGAACAAATCAGCATGTAATCTGTGAAATAAGACATTGACAACAATATTCTTCCCCCTGTTCTTGACAGTGAGGCAACCCAAATCACCATGCTGTATTCCCGTCAGGGAACAGCAGAAACAATTGAAGAGGTTGAAGGGGAGGAGCATGAAGAAGGAGGGGCAAATGCTGTATCCAGACAGGAGCATGACATGGAAGTTTATAGCATGGATTCTGAAGGAGCTGCATACACATCTGATACAGATATGCCATCCTATTCTGCTTTGGATAGCATTGCTGAACCCCCTCCTTCATATAGCAAAGCTGTGAGCCTGCAACTTTTTCCTTTAGATGTTTCTCAAGATGGTTCCTCTGACAAAAACCAGATGATGGTCAGTCCAGATGAAAATCAATCTGAGAAACCAGAGGATTCAATACTGCCTCCCTTGACGCATGAACTGACTGCAAGTGAACTACTCCTTAACAAGTAAGGATTGCAGACATACGTGTAATGTAAATTTAATGTTCAACAAATGATAATGTGGAATTCTGTGTTGTTTTGTTACAAATTAATTAACAAATTTGACTCACTGATGGTCAGCTAACCCTAATGCAGATAGTACGATAGTACGATAAATAGAAATATTGTACTATTTCATTTAGTTTGTTTCATTGATTAAACCTGTACCCTGGCCTCTCTTCCAAGGGATTGCAGGGGCAGCCATGTGTTCGCAGGTAGTTTCCTATTCAAAAAATAGCCACACCTGGATAGTGAAGCTTGGTTTCACTATCGTAACTTCTTTCTGAGCCCTTAGACTCAGAAAGCTTTAATATTTTACATTGCTATTTTCCAGTATAGGACAGAACCAGACCAGTTTGCACTGGGCTGTAACAGTTCTGTACTTTTACACTATTGGGCACTGAGCTTGAACTTCTCTGGTTTTATTCTGACTATTTACTTAGCGATGATTTATGTATTGCAAGATTCCTGCATGGGAATGTGCATGTCACTGTCCACAAGGTTTTTTTTCACTGTGTGAATGTGTGGTGTACACATGAGGGACAATCATGGCTAATTGCAGCTTCCTGGGATAACAGGATGCATCAAGAAACACTTCATGATCCAAGCACATTTGAAAAATAATGATTGCCTTTCAACTTTTCCATATACAAATATTTTAGTGTGTGAAATAGTGCATAGATGAAAGCTGGTGTCTCGAATTATTTCAGCAGAATTCTGTAACCTTTTTTAAGTGTTCAAGGGCTTTTCCACATTGGGATATTCTATTTACGTTTAGCAGAAGATCCCTATGAGACACTAGGTTTATTAGGACACTGAGTGCATTCTTCTGGTTTTAAGTGGTATGACATGAAACACATCCAAAGCACCAAACTAAGATCATACGGACTTGTTTCATGGCCATTTGGGCCATGCCCTGTTAAGGAAGCTCTAACTTGTTGATACTTCCAGAATATTCTGTACTATTTAAGTTGTTTACATATCAAATAATGTAATTTAATTTTGTTCCCACAGAATGTTCCAAGATGAGGAACTGGATGAGTCAGAAAAATTCTACTCTGATCAACCTCGCTTCTTACTGCTAATTTATGCTTTATATAATACACTTGTAGCACGTTCAGAAATGGTGTGTTACTTTGTGATTATTCTTAATCATATGGTCTCTGCCTCCGTGATTACTCTTGTGCTTCCTATCCTGATATTCCTTTGGGCCATGCTCTCTGTCCCAAGGCCTAGCAAACGTTTTTGGATGACGGCTATAGTCTACACTGAGGTATGCTTCATTCCACAGATAATGAATATCAGAATCTCTTTGTGCTGTCACTTGATGGCATGATTCATAGTGTTATTCAGTTAGATCTTTAGATTGGAAGTATCTGATTTCTGTTTCAGACTAACCTAGTTTGTTGTTATGCCCAACTCAGACTCAGTTGTAGTTAATTTAAACAGTTGATTAAAACAAACCATGGTTTCTGATTTCTTGTAGCCACACTGGATGAGTAGACTGATTTCTGTAACAGGAAACCCATGTTTCTAAACCTGATGTCTTCCAATGTTTTGCACCAATCCCCTATCATCCCCACCCCACATGGCCAATGGTCTGAAATGCTGGAAGTTGTAATCCAAAATATTTAGAGTATACCACCTTGGAAAAGGTTGTACTAAGTTGTGGTTTAGCCGTACATCTAAGCCAGAATACTTTGTTTCATTGATGAGAGTATATACAATACAATGAGACTAAATCTGTGGGCTGCCATCATTCCTGTACTGTAAAATCGTTTGCTTCTTAAACTCATTATAGTTAATATGTCAGTGAAAACCTATTCTCTATATAGAATCTATTTCTGGTATTTTAGGAAGCTAAGTTTCTAATATGAAAATGCAATTGAAGTTCAATTGATGGTACTCCATGGTAAGATAACATTATTTCACATCAGCATTGTAAAATATTGTGACAATAATTATTTGAATACTGTCAGAGTTAAGCATTATACACAGCATAATGGAGGGCACATTAGGATTTGAATGTTGGGCAGGATATAGAAATAAAATGCTACTACTAGTACTACTCAGTTTTGTTGTTGCTAAATCCTTCCTTCCTCCAGTTCTCCCCTAAAAAAGCTCTTGTTGCCGCTGCCAGGGTAACTGGCAGAGCCAGAGGTTTTTAAATTGGTTGAACAAAATAGAAGGGAAGCCAACAGCACTGCCACCCACAAAAGCATTTCAGAGATTCAATCACATCCTGTATTCCAAAAAAATAAGCAGTTACTGAAATGGCAGGCACAATTCATTGCTGGCATTCAGGCTTTTCCTTAGTATTTACTAATGCTTCTTTCACAAGGAGTTCCAATGGTTAGCCACTTAGGGGGCAGTCCTGTGTAAGTTTAGACATGCAGCTGTGTGTTGGCTCGTGCATGCTGTCAGCTGCAGGCCATTTTTCTTTCTAATTTTTTTTTATTTTAATTGGGCTTTTACCAGAATGCTGTGCCTTTGTTGTTGGACCATCCTGAGACTCTTATGTATAGGACAGGATAGAAAAGTTTTAAACAAACAAATTGCATAAGAGCGCACCTTGAGCAAGCTAATTCCGTCTCTTCTCTCATTGCCCATTCCCTCCACCTATTTGTTGTTGTTGTTTTTAACCAGCATTTTCAACACACCATGGTCTTGCTGGGCCTTTCGTGGGTGCTTTTCCCCATCACTGCCATTTTCTTTTCATTTACAAACTATTATTTGTTGCATACCTAGTCAGCTGTATACCTAGGATATCCCATCAATATGTAGAAACTATTACCTTATTTTGGGTTGGTCCTGTTTTACTTTCTAATAGGCATGGAATGATCCAGGTTTTATAAGTGAGGGAATGAGAACATAGTATATGACACTGATATATTTCACTTCATTACCAGAAATTCACAATATCACTTACAACATGTTTCACTTATTGTAACTGCATAAATTTTAGGAACCTAGAATGTGTTATTAATTTGGAATAGCAATCAGAAAACATTTCATTTTAAATTGATTAATTTTACTTAGGCTCATTTTTCTCCCTCTCACAATACTAAACATTTAAAACCTTCAATGAATTCAAATCAGATGAAAGAAAGTACTACTTTAAACAATTGAAATTTGCTGCCTTGAGCATGTGGCAAGATCACATGATCTTGTGATAAGTTTAAAGGGGATATGAACAACTATTTTAGCCATGCTGGCTACAAGGGATCTCTATTTTTTTTCCCTTATTACTGGTTGCTGAACCAAGACTGCCATCAAAGGTAGACATAATCAGGCAGGGCCTGGTGACAAGAACTTCATGGAGTTATTCCTCATCTCCACCACTGCCACCTGATGGTTCAGCTACCTGTCTATCTGGCCCAGCTGACAGTGGTGGCGAGGACAAAAAGCAATAGATGACACTGTCTACTTTCTTCCTGGCTTTCTGTCAAGCAGTTGGTGACAATGGCAGGGAGAGGCTCAACTTACCAAGGAAAGAAGCTCCATTGAACATGTTTTTCCCAGTGTTAAACATCCTCCAAAACCAGGAGTGGGTCCAAACAATGAAAGCCTTTGTGTTCTGCTTGTGGACTTCTGAGCAGCATCTTCTAGCTTCCATGGAAAAAAATGCATTCTAAGCTCAATGAGTCTTTGTCCTATTCAAATTAGTTCATATTATACCAATGTTTTTGCATTTTTTATAATAATGTACCATTTTCTTTGCGTCTTGTGAGGCTACTTTTCACCTATTGACTGGTGTCTTGTTTTTCTTGTCTGCTTGTTTTTTGCCCAGGTGACCATAGTTATAAAGTATTTTTTCCAGTTTGGATTCTTTCCTTGGAATAAACAAATAGAAATCACAAAAGATAAACCCTATTATCCTGCTAATATTATTGGTGTTGAGAAGAAAGAGGGTTACGTGCACTATGACCTTGTTCAGCTACTTGCTTTGTTTTTCCATAGATCCATTTTAAAGGTATTTTGGAGTTAACTATCTAGTCCATTGTTTTTAATGGGGGGGGGGTTATACATAAATATCTGCCAGAACAATAAAGAGCTAGAACAAATAAAAGAATAAAACAATACATTAAAAGCAAAGTAACATTAAAACCAATGCTGGTCAGCAAGAAAAGCTTCACAGAACAAAGTCTCAGTGGGAACCGAAAAACAGTGCAGCATTTGTGGCTACTTGAACTCCAGAACCAAGGAATTCCACAGAAATGGGGCTGCTGCTTCTTTGCAGAACTTCATAACTTAATTGCATTGTCCTTATTAAAAATAATAAGATGGGCATACCAATCCTGTGGCCCTAGGCAGCCAAGAGGGCCATGGGGTCATTCAGATTCCCAGATCTGGGGTTCAAGAAGAGAGCCTGCCTTAGAGTTAGAGACCTGTGTTTGCTTTGCATTCCCCTTAACGCTTTGCAGCGGGTACAGAAAGAGCCATACTTGCTGCACCTGACCCTGGATAAGGAATAGAGAGGACTTGTTGGAAGACAGGGATGTGAGGAGACTGAGTCTGATGCTTCCTGGTGGCATTCTCTTTGCAGTACCACAGATAGAAGGCCAAAAGCTCATCAGCATCAAGCAGGGCCAAAGGGAAAGAGAGAAGGTCACCTCAGCATTGCTTCTCCCCTGCAAAGGATATGAACAATCCTCCAAATTTAGAGGTTTAGAGGCATTCTTAATGGATTGCACCAATTAATGGGGATTAAAGCATACATGAAAAATTAGTTACTTAGCTCAAAATTCAAAGCTATATTTGTGTAAAGGTAAGGTTTCCCCTTGACATGAAGTCCAGTCATACCTGACTCTAGGGGGCGGTGCTCATCCTCGTTTCCTAGCCAAGGGAGCCAGCGTTTGTCCGCAGACAGTCTCCGTGGTCATGTGGCCGGCATGACTAAACACCAAAGTGCACGGAACGCTGTTACCTGCCCACCGAAGTGTACCTTTTTATCTACCTTTCTATCTACCTTTTTATCTACTTGCATTTGCCTGCTTTCGAACTGCAAGGTTGGCAGGAGCTGGGATGGCGCAACGGGAACTCACCCCGTTGTGCAGATTCGGACCGGTGACCTTTCGATCTACCAGCCCAGCAGCACAGCGGTTTAAACCACTGCGCCACCTACAGTCTCATATTTGTGTACTTTGATGTTATTTCAACTTTTGATTAATAGGTTGTTCCACATGAGCATCCTTTTGTGACCTTAAAACCTCTCGATAACTAACATGAAGCTGATCAGAGCATAGCCCTAAACCCATATCCAATGCCATTCCATGCCTTTTAAATGCCATTGCTATAACCACCCCCACATATGTTGATTAGGCCAGTGCTAATCAAGAATGTGATTTTAGAAGTTAAGTACAGATTCCACCCCATACTTTGTTAAAATGAAGCATGCCATTAGTCATATTTTTGAAATATGGTCTGCAAGAAATTAGGTGACTTGAAGGCAAGAGTGTATATCAGCATTTACTTTCCATCAAGAGAAGGAATCCAAGGAAAAGCCCATTTTAAAGTATCCTAAATAGTTGAAAATTCCCTTAATCTGTCTCTCTTTAGTGTCATGGACTGTGGGATGAAGAAGATGGAGGAGATAACTGCAGTAGTAGAGATGACTCTGATGATGAGTTGGTGGACTCAGACAGGAGAGGTTCTGCTGCCTCTTTGACATCAGTCAATTTGGAAGCATCTGTCGAATCCATACATGTCCATTTCCCAGAGCAGCAGACTGCCATCCGCAGGAAAAGTTCAAGCAGTGGCTCCCAGCTGTCACATAGATCTAGCTACTCCTCTCATCGTTCCAAAAGAGGCACGTATATAGTCCACACCTAGGCTCTAAAACTGAACAGGTGCTATGCTTGTACTTGCCCAGGTCTTCATTTCTGAGTATCCAGTAAACGAGATATTAATTGTGTTTCTGTGAGAGAGTAGCAAGGGTGATCTTATTGGGAAGGGTAATTGTTTGAGATGAAATGTGGGACCCTTGATATATTGTTAAAGAAAAGTCTGATATGTATTTAAAATATGTTGTGCCTTAGCAATTTCTTCTCTTCATGTAATTGTGCCTGAATATTTCACTAAAGTTGGGCTTTAAGACTGATGTTTCTCTTAGTAATTATTATTTCTCTAACCATATTTTCAGGAAGTACCAGCACACGGAACAGCAGTCAAAAAGGAAGCAGTGTGCTAAGCATAAAACAAAAATCAAGGAAAGAACTTCTTATGGAAAAACTACGAGAGCAAATTATCATCGCTAAAGCATTTACCATCAAAAAGTGAGTAAATATCAGATTTAATAAAAGAATTATTTCTTTTATTGTGTGAAACAATAAAAAGATAGTCTAACAGATGTCTTGTAGCACTGTCCAGGGGTTAGTAAGGGTGCAAAGGTTTCAGGAACAAGAAAAGAAAGAAAAAACCTTTCCCTGTTGCACTATGTATGGCTACCATTTGGTGCTGGGAGGGAGTTTTCTCAGGAATGGGAAAGGGAAAAGATGTCCCATTTCCCTTGCACTTCCTCCTGAAAACAAAATGGATCCCCATTCAGGATGGGGATGAGAGGTTATTGACCTCATGGTGCACAATCCCCTGAGCCTAATACCCTCTTCAGGGTTATATAAGCTGGGGGGGGGGGGCATTATGAAGCCAATTTCTCTGCCATTCCTTCCCCCTCACTCCCTTTTACCCTTAGTGTCAATGTCTCCTGTAGGGCAATAAGCATGCTCAGTGCTCATCTAGCGGGATTGTGCATGAGGGGAGGTATTTTATTCCAAGACTTCTTTCTGCATGTATGGGAACTCGGCTGCATTAGACCTGTGGCTGGCCTCACGTCAGTGCTCAGCTGACAGCAACAAAATCACCAAGTCTGGTGACAGAAGCACTGGATACACATGACAATAATCAGAAACTTAATTGTACACTATGTAACAGTGTGCTATTTGCATGCCATATTCTTATTCTTCTTTTGCAGTTTAAAGCCCATCTCATCATGGACTAGAAATGGCATTTAAAGAGATTTGTATAACAAATGTGTAGGGTCAGTGGGGCTGGAGGGAAAGGGATACTTCTCAGTCTTTTTTATGCTCTTCTTCATTAAGTCTTTCAGCTTCTTTGCTTGCCTTAGATTAAATGTCCTAGACCTAGAGTGTTCTGTATACCTTGGGAGTGTTATGCTAGAGAAAGTGACCACCAGAAAGCTCAACTCTCTTTACATAACATTCTTTTGTATCTTTCCTTCCACAAAGTTCTTTTGCAAGTAAGATTGTGTTTTGTATTATTTCAGGACACTTCAAGTATATGTGCCCATCAAACAGTTTTTCTACAATCTTATCCACCCAGATTACAGTGCTGTGACAGATGTTTATGTCCTGATGTTTCTTGCTGATACAGTGGACTTCATTATCATTGTGTTCGGATTCTGGGCTTTTGGGGTATGTTTGAATTGTTTGTTTGTTTGGATGAGGAAAACAAAACCTATTCACTAGTACAGATAATTAAGATATTTTCCTTGCTATCCCTCATCCCCCTATATATCTTTCCAGAAACATTCTGCAGCAGCAGATATTACCTCTTCATTATCAGAAGACCAAGTGCCAGAAGCATTCTTAGTGATGGTGCTAATTCAGTTTGGAACCATGGTAGTGGATCGAGCACTGTATCTGAGAAAGACAGTCATGGGGAAGGTCATCTTCCAGGTCATCCTTGTCTTTGGTATACACTTTTGGATGTTCTTTATCTTGCCCTGTGTGACAGAAAGGTAAAAATAGCCCAGTCTTTTAATTCCATTGCTGTGTTTTAATTCTATTTTATTTCTATTGCTTCCAAAAGATGGTCAGCTCATATTTATACTTAGGCAAGATATACTTAGGATCCCAAGGGAAGACTCTGCTGTGGTTATATTGAACAAACCAGTGACAAGGGGAGCTGATACATAGGAACAGTGATCTTGCCTTATTTGGATCATTCATGATACATTCATTCTTTGAAAGTTGGTTAAAAGTTTGTTTTAACTAACTTCATAGACCAGGGAAATATGCTGACACCATGGGTGTATGGTCCACTTCTATTGTTGTTGTGCTGGTGGTGGTGTCTAGCAACAGTTTTATTGTTGCTAGAAACTTTGTGATACACCAACATATGTTAGATGTACAGTGTAACAACTGAGCATGTGTTCTTGCTTAAGAACATATGAAATGACTTTGCAAGATCCGGTTCTGGATTATGCGTAAAACCCAAGGCAGGTAATGAGCCGCCCCGAGGCTTTGTTGCGATGGGGGTGGCATAAAAATGTTCTAAATAAATAGAATAAAATAATGGGGGAAGGATGGCAGTAGAGAGAGCCTACTGGTCCAGTCGACTACTGCAGCCATGCAGTCCCCTCAAGAGGGTAATGCGCTGGTCCACCAGGCCTTCTTTAAGGAAGCCATAGTTTACTTGTGGTTCACCCCTTCAAAGTCATGAAGAGTCAGTGTGTGTTTAGATTCCTCACTCAGCTGCTGCATGAAGCTCAGTGGTAGCTTCCCCTCCTGAGATTAGACCTCAGGAAGAGAGGAAGAGGATGCAGATCTGCTTGATACTCAGGCCTTTCAATTTCCAACCCCACCAACTGGTAGGTGGACTCACAGGCTCGTGTGGCTCAAAATGCCAGCTCAAAGGACTGGGAGGCTGTAAAAACCTCAGCTGCACATCCCACCTTCCCTGGTTCTTACCAGCAAAACAGGACTTCTCCTCTGTCTAGCAGATGTTGGTCCCACAGGATTACACTCTAACTTAAAGAGAAGCAGAGAGAAAACAGGCAACACGGCCTATATCCAAAATGGGGCTGCCATATCCACAACAGAAACAGGGTTTTAAATACAGCCACCATCTTTGCAGCCATGGGAAAAGGTGTGGGGTACATAAGAAGGCTGAGGCATCCGTTTTAAAATCTGACTTGAAGCAAGTTCAGGCTCTTCATTTTATTAGGCAACTTATCCCATTCTCCATCATTTATATATAGTCTTTCTAACTGCTTGTGCTTTCCAGAGCATTGTTCATAGATACGGTTTGAAGAATCTGGAACCAAAGCATTATTCTCTTCATGACTTGATCATTTAAGATTCATCCAGACAGCTGCACAATTGTCTGTCTTCTTTCTAAAAGCAGCTACCAAGAGTCTATTTAAACCTGGGGGAGGAATTGAAAAGTGCTTCTCCGTTGCATCATGAGAAACTGTTGTTAAGGGAGTGAGGATGAGAAGCCCAAGTGCTTTCCCTGAAAAGGTCACTGGGGATTAAAGATTAATTTGCAAAAACAAGAGTGCATGCATGTTCATTTTCTCCCACTCTGTTTCATATTGCAGGAAATTTAGCCAAAATACAGTTGCACAACTGTGGTATTTTGTGAAATGTGTTTATTTTGGATTATCAGCATATCAGATACGTTGTGGCTACCCTACCCGGGTACTTGGCAATTTCCTCACAAAAAGTTATAATTATGTAAACCTCTTCTTATTTCAAGGGTGCGTATGTAATATATACACAGTGAATTTCTTGTTCTGCATTTCTGTCTTTCTTCTGGTGCCTATTTATTTTTAATAACATTTATAGACTGACTTTCCACCCAAACAGGGTCCTCAGGGAATGTTACGTTTTTACATTTAGTGCTGTAAGATTGTCTTTTCTTTGAGATGCTGAATTCTTCAATAAGACGATCTGTTTCTCATCAGTGCAAACAGAAGTGTCAATTTATGGAAAACTACATCTAATACCATCTACATAGATTAATGGTATTACTCATGCAGAGCAAGGGGTGTTTCTGTTGGAGAGTAACCCCTAATTTTTTGTGGCATGTCTTTGAGAAGCCAAAGAAGGGAAAGCTTTCCCAATTCCCATGTGCCAGTAGAGCACCAGTTTGAAGCCTGCTGCATGAATGGGGAAGAACGTGGCTAATCTAGGACACTTAATATCCATCCCAAGTATACAAATAAATAGCTTGAAATCATGTTAGATGCAGCATTATACTTCAAGTAAAACTGATTCTTCATCTGTGCTGATTCTTTTCTGTTCTTTAGGTTCCGTCTGGTACCATTCTTAACTGAGTTGAGGGCAGTAATGGACTGGGTTTGGACAGATACCACATTAAGTCTTTCTAGCTGGATTTGCGTTGAAGATATTTATGCTCATATATTCATCCTAAAGTGCTGGCGAGAGTCTGAAAAAGTAAGAAAACTATTTGTTGAAGCATTTTTAATTTTTTATTTTCAACCGTTATGGTGAAAGATGGATCATAATGGGATGTTCCTGGACCCAGAGTTGTTACTTATGACACATGTAGATTTGGTGGCACCAAGCTCCTTTTATCAGCTTAAGCTACCTGGACAGAGAGGCCCTAGCTACAGTTATCCATATTCTGGTAACCTGTATTACCAGATACAATTAACCATACAATACAATTAACCATTGTATTACTGCAATGCACTGTACATGGAGCTGCCTTTGAAAAACAAGCTGGAAGCTACAACTGATTTAAAACAAGGCAGCAAGACTGGCCCACAGGAACATATTATACCAGTCCTCTTCCAGCTGCGCGGCTGCCAGTTGAAGTACAGACCCACTTCAAAGTGCTAGCTGGCTTGGGGTCAGGTTATTTGAAGGATTGCCTCAACCCATATGAGCCTACCCTGACCCTGAGGTCATCTTTGGGGCTTCTTCTCCAGGAACCCATTCAAAAGTAAGTGAGGTGGGCAGCTACTAGAAGGAGGGTCTTTTCAGTTCTGGCATCCCTGCTGCGCAATGAGCTCCCCAGACGGGTGTGTCTTGCACCTCATTTGAATTCTTTTTGGTGCCAGGTGAAAACCTCTGTATTCTCTCAACATTTTAACAGTTTAACTTCATTTTTAATATTGCATTTTATTCTATACTGCTGTTATCATTGAATCATAGAATAGGGGAGTTAGAAGGGGCCAAGAAGGTCTTTGGGTTCAAGCTCCTGCTAGTTCAGGACACCAAGTTATACAATCCCTTTCAGATGACTGTTCAGTTCCTTAAGCTTGTATGCTGATTCAGTTGAAATTGTGATTGTGGTTTTCTTGTCTTAAGCTACTTTTTCATCCATGTTTGTGTGTTTTAATTTTTTAAAACTTTTTTTAACTGCCTCAGCTATTTGGTGGTATAAACACAGGATAAATAAATAAATTCTTGAACAAATGCAAAATATTTATCTGAGAAGTATATTCCTAAACATGAAGCTTAGCCACACACATATAAAGTTGATGGTGTTTCAAACACTATTTTCTTTAACTGTAGTTTTCTTCAATATAATATCAAGCAAGCAAACTATTTTCCCAGATATATTCACAAATCTTTTATTATGTCTATAAAATTAAGTATCTATTGTTTACACAGACTGTTGAAACTGGTAAATTTTCCACTAAAAATTAAAACTGAGGGTCCCTGTGAAATGTTTCATTTAAGACTTATGAAAGGCAGCAATGAAACTTAATTCTTATACTAGGAGGCAAACCCTACGAATTTAAGACCTGGGCTAAAAAAAAATAAACCTAACAGCTGAAGCTGGTGCAAAAGTAATGGTAATTTATTTACTTACCTGAAACAGAAGCTCTTAACTTAAAACAGGACTGCTCAGCTTAAATGCAAACTTCAGTAAATGTTTTTAAATGAACCACAGCAAAATTTCTGGATAAGCTTAAAAGCACCTGAAATGTCACCACTGACTACAGTGAGAGTTGGTTTGCAACTTCTAATTTATGTAATCTTTTTGGCCTACAGTCAGCATTTTGAATACATTGATAGGTCTTTCAATTAATTGAAAACAAGTGTTGTCACTGCCACTTTGTCCAGTTTCTTTCCTTTCCATTTACTGTTCTCTCTTTTTATAGTCTCCATGATTTCCCCATCTTTTTATAAGTTATAGCAGCCTTTCCCAATTGGTGCCCTCCAGATTTATGGACTGCAGTTCCCATGAATACCATTCAGCATGGCTAATGATCAGGAATTCTGAGACTTGTGGTCCGAATGGCACCAAGTTGGGTATGGTTAACTTATAGTATTCTTTTTAGACTAATACCTTCAGTGGGGGGCTAAGGACCTATCTCACAGGTATATCTAGACTTGAAGTTTGCAAGAAAAAAGTTACCTGTATTCACAGACATCTGATATTGGTGTATGCTAACCCTGTTCTGTGTAACTGACTTTTTTTTGCTGCCACAAACCAAACAATTAAATTTAGTGCATTGTCACAGATCATAGTCAGCATATACTGTGAATCAACATGAACCTGACCATTTCTACGCCTTCCATAAATTGAAATAACTTTGAAGATGAGGCTCAAGGCACCTCACCTCACTTCCATTTAAAGGCAAACTATTAAACATTGGACAAAGATCTTTTTAAGCCTACTTTGTACTTAGATAGGCAGCCTTTCTGATGTATTTCTGCATTTATATTGATAAACAAAACAATTATAACTTTGGGGCTTAAAGAAATAAATGGGGTGCCAACCATAAATAAATAAATTGAGATATTACCCTACAATTTGTAGTAAGTTGTTGGACTGGTTCAGTGTAAAATGATGATCAAACCAATATTTAATGCCAGTGCATTAAGTTTATTGGATGAAACAGTATGTGGGTGAAACAGTATATGCATTTTTAGCCTATCGCTCTTATGTGAGGACCACAGCAAAGTTATCTTGACATAAAACAGCAAATAGTCCTGTGTCCCCATAAAGACAAACTAAAGTATTATTGTAACTTACACCCTTTTTGTCAGAAGCTTGGAATGCCCCTTCAGTTGGTGAAAGTTGCTGCTGCAGGAGGAAAGGCGGCAGCAGGTTGGGGGATTGAGATCCACCTGTTGTTTAGATCTTTGCCTCCCTTGGTCTTTAAAATCACCTGGAGTTGGCCTGGCTATTTGGATCTTGGAGGCAGCCTTGAATTCAACCTTGCTCACCTTGGTTGAATGACAGGCCAGGGAATGGAAGTGATGGCATACAACTTTGTTACTTCTCCTGGAACTTGTTAGTGGTTTTGAATACCAGTGACTGCAGTATCTTTCTGGATTACTTATTTCGTTTATTACATTTCTGTCCTGCCTAATAGCCAATGCTCTCTTTACAAAGATTAAAACTATAAAATACAACATGATAACTTAATATAAAATAGTTAGCATTTTAAAATGTCAATTTTTTATCCATCAACTATAAAAATTCTGAAAGAACTGTTGAAAAAGCTCATCATAAAATGACAAATCGTAAAGGAAAGGCTTAGCTAGAAAGATGACAATAACTGGGGAGAGTATTCCATAAGTAGAGGGGCACCACTGAGAAAGCAATGCAGCTGAGAGATGTAGAAGCACACTGTGCAAATGGGCCAGAATCTGTGCCACATGTTTGGGCATTTTAGTCCCTGTGCACGTTGCACAAACTGCAGCTTCTAAACTGCCTTCCAAGATGTGTCATGTAGAGCAGATGATGGTAATCCAACTTGAGGTTACCAAAGCATAGGCAACTGAAGCAAGATTATTCTTGACCAAATAGAGGCATAGCTGGGCTACCAGTTGAAGCTGATAAAAGGCACTCCATGTCACTGGGAACAGTTTAGCCTCATGGGACAATGGCAGCACCAGGAGAATCTCCAAGTACAAGGCGAAGAGCTATTTCTTCAAGGTCTTTCTTCAAGATAAGGTCAATACTAAGAGCACCCACCATCACTCATGAATACTGTCTCAGTCCTGTATGGACTGAGTTTCAGTACATAAGCCTCTATCTATTCCATTGTCACAGTCAGGCACTTATCTAGCACATCCACAGTCTCACCTGACGAAAAGCAGAAATAAAGCTGTGCTGATGTTCTTTGTCAATGCGCTCAAGAAGTCCTGATGATCACACTCAGCAGTTTCATCTATCTGTTAAACAGCATGAGGGACTAAAGTAATCCATGGACAACATGATACTGGAGAATCATGTGCAGTATTGTCCATCTTCAGGGGGCAACAATCCAAGTAGGAGTGAAACTACTGCAATGCATTATTTCCAACTTCCAGTTCAGACAATTTCCCCAAACAGCAGCCAGTATATTAAGGAGAATCAATTAGGTCACAGTTCCTCAACCTCTCTCTTTACATAATTCATTTTATGGGTCAACAAAAGTTATTTCCATGGCAAAACCTAGCCACAGTCATTTCTTGGCATTTTTGGAATTGGCATGCTATATTTGATGAATCTTTGATCAAGTTACATACTAGGTTAAAGGCACAATGTGCAGCTGCCCTTCTGTTTTGTCCTTTGAGCCCAGGCTCAAGGAAGAAGCATTTCCTTGCACGCAGAAGGTGACTGGTTCAATCCTCTGCATCTCCAGACAGAGTTGAAAAAACTCCTGCCAGAAACCCTGGCATTTTGCTGCCAGACAGTGTCTGCAGTACAGGGCTAGATGGACCAAGCATATGACAGCTTCCTATGTTCCCAAGGGAAACCTCCATGTGGGAGGTTTAAAATGGAAAAATAAAAACAAACTTCCAGTGGTGGCGGTGGCGGGGTCTTTTCATTTTTCCTGTCTGTTGTTGCTGCTAATGATTGATTTTGCTTGTTGCAGCGATATCCCCAGCCGAGAGGTCAGAAGAAGAAGAAAGTTGTGAAGTATGGAATGGGTGGCATGATCATTGTCTTGCTGATCTGTATAGTTTGGTTCCCACTGCTCTTCATGTCTCTAATCAAATCTGTTGCAGGCGTCACAAATAAGCCACTTGATGTATCAATAACAATCACTTTAGGAGGATATCAGGTACAAAGCAAAAAAATTAGATGTCACATGTTTTTCTTACTATCTTTCTTTTATATCTTTTCCTTACATTGATGTTGGTCTTAGTTTTTCATAAAAAATGACCATTGTAGTTGTTGTTTAAAGAAAGAAAAAGAATCTAAATGTAGTAAAGAGAATGCTTCAGCACTGTCTTCCTGTTTTTCCAGCCTATTTTTATGATGAGCGCACAGCAGAGTCAACTAAAAAATATGACAGGAGAGCAATACAGAAACTTCCTTTCCAATTTTAAGAGGAATACTGTAAGTAACTTTGCTTTTCTTATGGTAAAAGTTTTGTACTCCTTTGTAGCCATTCTATAAATGGTGATAGTGAAATTATTCAGTGTTACCAGCATGACCAATCCCTTTGGCTCAGCACCCAACTACGTTCTGTATTTGATTACATATAGGAAGGAAGTATTCAGAATGCAGTAGTGTACATTTGTGGGTGACATGCTGCCATGCTGTATCCAGAAATCCAGCCGTCATCCTACAATGCAAACGTGAATCAAATACAGCAACAGTGCACGCACTCCCCTGCAGCCACCTCACGTCAGCATTGACTACTCTTGTTGTAGAAAACAGGTGGAAATTTCAACAAAATAAACAGGCAGGAGTTCAACCTTAGAGGAATGCCTGATTCAAACTGAAAATACTGAGAAACACACCATTTAAAAAAGAAATACCACATTTTCACAAAACCTGCTGAAAGGGGCACAGTCCTGAATTTTAGATATTATCTAAACCACTTCAAGGAAAGGAGTATGATAGATGTTATGCGAACACAAAAGCAGCTTGCAAGCAGTGGGTGGGTATGCAGAGTAAGCCACAGGGGTTAGCTGTTACAAGAACAGCCGGGCTCACTGTAGGTTGTTGTCCCCAGCCCCTTCCCTCTTGGTCTGCAAACTGGAATGTTCTTCAGGGCATACCAGAGCACAGTGTAGAGAGCAGGCCTTTCTTGCACACATTACAGCTTGCTCACATAGATTTTGAGGAGGAGCCAAAAGAGCAGGGGCGCAGAGGGCTTGGCCATTTCAAGGTTACCCAGGGAAGTTTCTCAGACTGAGTGTGAGAACCAGCTGCCTTAGACAGGGAAGGAGACTTTTCAGAGTTGGAGTGTGCAGGGGGACACAGGGAGTTAGTTCCTTGAGAGGTGGAGGGGACAGACCTGTTGTGATGTGTTCCATCCAGCCCACAAGCAGCACGAGTCACCCTGAAGGTGGAGCAAGAAGCTTTGCTGCAGAGAGGAAAGGAGGGGACAGTTCAGTTTGGATTCAGCTCTTCACATGGAAAGGTCAAAGTTACTTTGATTTATGCTCTTTTATAACCTATGGAGCTGTAATAGAGGACTGTGCTTCTAAGTTTTCCTTGGGTTTGCTGGAGAGGAAAAGAGAGAAGTGACTTCTTCACAATGCATGCATAAAATTTGGCAATCAGTACTACTACCAAACTGAGGTGGAGGAATAAAAGCTTCATATTCACCCTTTAAAATTTATTTTCAGGCTGCTTTACAGTTTCTAGAAAACTATGGTATGGAAGATATAACAGTTGCACAGCTAGAAGGAAATTCAAATTCTTTATGGACTATCAGCCCTCCCAGCAGGGAAAATATGATTAAAGAACTCAGCACAAGCACTACTGATTTTTCTATAGTCGTTTCATGGAGTATTCAAAGGTATGGCTTCACTGGTAGCATTTAGGGTTATCTTCATCTGTCTAGTAGCAGTATTCTTGGTTGCTGCATTTCATGTATCCCAAAACTAGCTCACTGTGCTTTTTAGGACAGGATTTTTCTGCTGTTTTGTTTTTAATCTGTGCATTTCAATGTCTCTTCTTTGAGGGTTGGGGGCTGTTTAGAACAGTGTGGGCACTAGGATTGCCATTTGAAAGTGAGGGAAGTAGATAAACATTTCCTACCCCACCCCCATATCTTTCCAGCGACTGCTTCTGTTCAAGCTGAATTATTTCTATAAATAGAAGGAGCCCTTCCAGCACATGAATACAATATGCTTTGTCCAAGATAACACTAATTCTACCAACTACCTTGTGTGGTAGTCTAGAATTATTGTTCTGTGAATGCACTACTATCTTAGATAGAGTATCAAGTAATATAATAAATAAGGGTGTAGATCTGTTTGTCCGTCCATCAGTACCCTAGTACCATCATCCTGGAACCTAGACACCTGAAACATGGCATATATACTAAAAGACCCTAGAGTGGTGGTGGCAAAACTATGGCATGTGTGCCACAGTGGGCATGCAGAGTGCTCTCTGTCAGAACGCGAGCCAAGTCACCTAGGCATTGCCCCAGCAGCCGAGCATCGGATAACAGCGCACACAGGGGCCATGCACTTCCTCGGAAAGGAGTAGTGGTGCCAGGTAAAGACGTCACAAGCAGCGACACATTAGCCGCGACTTCTCCAAACTTTTGCATGGCTGGACAGTGCGCTGCCAAGGATATTAATATATTTGCATGGACTGGCTGTTTTCAGGTTTTATTGCAGGGTTGGCACTTTGCGAAAAATAGGTGGGTTTTGGGTAGCAGTTTGGGCACTTGGTCTCTAAAACGTTCACCATTACTGGGTTATGGTTAGAAAAACGAAGTATCCTGGAATGATTTTGATGGTTGCAATGTGTTTAGAATGGGCAGAAATGAGGAGCTCTGCAGAAAAAGCTACTCAATGATGGCTTTTTCAAAATCCCCCTTATTCCAGTGGAACTTCACCCTCTGTTAGAGATAGGGATGTGCACCAGGGTATGGTTAGGGTTTGAAAAATATGGTTTCCCGGCATGATTTTGATGGTTCGATTGTGTTTAGAATGGGCAGAAATGTTGAGCCATTCAGAAAAAGCTACTCAAAGAAGGCTTTTTCAAAATCGACTTCTTGTCAATGGAACGTGCGCCCTTTATTGGGGTTGGATTTGTACACCAGGTTAGTGTTAGGGTTAGAGAAGGGAGGTGTCCTAGCAGGATTATGATGGTTGGAATGTGTTTGGAATGGGCATAAACGATGAACTGTGCAGAAAAGGCTGCTCGAGGAAGGCTTTTTCAAAATCGCATTATTTTCAATAGAACTGTAGCTCTAAAAGGTTACAGGAGTACACCAGGTGAGGGTTTGGGCTAGCAAAATGAGGTTTCTTGGCAGTATTTTGATGGTGGGAATGTGTTTAGAATGGGCAGAAATGATGAGCTGTGCAGAAAAAGCTGCTCCAGGATGGCTTTTTCAAAATCATATTATTTTCAAAGGGACTTTAGCTTTATATTAGAGTTAGGGGAGTGGACCAGGGTAGGGTTACGGTAAGGAAAAGAAGGTGTTCTGGCAGGATTTTGATGGTTGGAATATGTTTAGAGTGGACTGAAATGAGCTGTACAAAAAAATGTGCTTTACGAAGGCTTTTTCACAATCGCATTATTTTCAATGGATCTTTAGCCATATATTAGGGTTAGGGGAGTGCACCAGGTGAGGGTTAGGGTTAAAAATAGGACTGGTCCTGGCAGCAATTTGATGGTTGGAATGTGTTTAGAATGGGCAGAAATGATGAACTTTGCAGAAAAAGCTGCTCTATGAAGTTTTTTTCAAAATCACTCTCTTTTCAATCATTTAACCCCATATTAGTGTTAGTGGAGTGGCCAAGGGTAGGGTTAAGGTTAGAAAAATGAGGTGTTCTGACAGGATTTTTATGATTGGTACATCTTTAGAAAGGGCAGAAATGATGAGCTGTGCAGACATAGCTGCTTGAGGAAGGCTGTATTTTCATGGGAACTTTAGCCCTATATTCTGTTTAGGAGAGTGCAGCAGAGTAGGATTTGGGTATAAAAAAGGAGGGGTCTTGGCAGGATTTTGCTGCTTGGAATGTGTTTAGAATGATGGAGGATTGAAATTTAATCAAGAAATATAAAAACAAGAAATTAATATTTCTTGGTGGCACAAGGTTCAAATCGAGATATACTAAAGGCTATAGAATTCTGCTTCTGAATAAAAAGAAATGATAAGCTGTGCAGAAACAGCTGCTTGAGGATGGCTTTTTCAAAACCGCAGTGTTTTCAGCAGAACTTTAGCCTTATATTAGTGTTAGGGGATTGCACCAGGCTAGGGTTTGGGATACAAAAAGGAGGTGTCCTGGCAGGATTTTTTGGTTGGAATGTGTTTAGAATGGGCAGAAATGATGAGCTGTGCAGAAAAAGCTGCTCCAGGATGGCTTTTTCAAAATCACTTTCTTTTCATGCAATTTAACCCCTATCTTTGGGTCAGGTTGGACACCAGGGTAGGGTTTGGGTTAGAAGAATGAGGTGCCATGATATGATTTTGCCGGTTGTAATACGTTTGGAATGGGCAAAAATCATGAGAGTGCAGAAAAAGGTGTTCAAAGGACTTTGTCAAAAACACTCTCTTTTCAATGGAAATTTACCCCTATATTATGGTTATGAGTGGGTACCAGGGTAGTGTTAGGGTTAGAAAAATGAGGTGTCCAGCCGTTATTTTGATGGCTGAAGTGTATTTAGAATGGACAGAAATGTTTGTCTCTGCAGCAAAGCTACTCAAGGATGGCTTTTTCACTATCTTCCTCTTTTCAATGGAACTTTACCCCTATATTAGGGTTATACGTGTAATCCAGAGTACAGTTAAGGTTAGAAAAACACTGTCCTTCCATACTTTTGATGGTTGGGACATGTTTAGAATGTGCAGACACTATGAGCGGCGCAGAAGAAGCTACTCAATGATGGCTTTTTTCACAATCGGTCTCTCTTCAGTGGAACGTTACCCCCTTATTAGGGTCAGGGGTGTTCACCAGGGCGGGGCGGGTTTAGGAAAATGCAGTTTCCTGGTAGGATTTTAATGGTTGGAATGTGTTTAGAAGGGGCAGAAAGGATGAGTGGTGCAGAAAAAAACCTACTCACAAAGGATTTTTCTAATTAGACCTCTTTTCAGTGGGACTTTATCTCTATATTAGAATTAGGGTTGTGCAATAGGTTTGGGTTAGGATGAGAAATACGGGATGTCCTTGCATGAATTTGATGCTTGGAGTGTGTTTAGAATGGGCAGAAATGATGAGCTGTGCAGAAAAAGCTACTCATAAAGGATTTTTCAAAATCACCCTCTTTTCAATGGAACTTTTGCTTTATGTTAGGGTTAGGGGTTTCCATCAGGGTAGAGTTAGGGTTAGGAAAACGTGGTGTCCTGGTATCATTTTGATAGTTGGAGAATGTTTTGCATGGGCGGAAATGATGTGCTGTGCAGAAAAACCTACTCAAGGACGGCTTTTTCAAATTTGCCCTTTTTTTCAATAAAACTTTAGCCCAATATTAGGGTTTGGGGAGTGCACCTGGGTAGGGTTAGGGCTAGAAAAACATGGTGTCCTGGCATAATTTTGATGGTTGAAGTGTTTTTAGAATGGGCATAAATGATGAGCTTTGCAGAGAAAGCTACTCACAAATGCTTTTCCAAAATCACACTCTTTTCAATGGGACTTTACCCTTATGTTAGTGTTAGGGGTATGCACCAGGGTAGGGTTAGGGCTGAAAAATCTTGGTGTCCTGGAATGGTTTTGATTCTTGGAATGTGTTTATAGTGGTCAAAAATTATGAGCTGTGCAGAAAAAGCTACTCATGAAGGCTTTTTCAAAATTGCCCTCTTTTCAAGGGATCTTTTCCCCATATTAGGGTCTGGGGTTTTCACCCGGGTGGGGTGGAGTAGAAAAATAAAGTGTCCTTGCATGATTTTGATGGTTGGAATGTGTTTAGAATGGGCAGACATGATGAGCTGTGCAGAAAAAGCTACACAAGGAAGGCTTTTTTAAAAATTGCCCCCTTTTCAATGGAACTTTTGCCCTCTATTAGGGTTAGTAGGCGTGCTCACCATGGTAGGGTTAGGCCAGTGGTGACGAACCTATGGCACCCATGCCACCCTGGGCCTGCAGAGGCCTCTCCTGCAGCACTCTAGCCAAGTCACCCCAGCATCACCCCAGCAGCCGAACTTCACGTAACAGTGCACATAGGGGCCATGCGCATGCTCAAAATGGAGTAGTGGTGCCATGTGATAATGTCATAAACTGTGACTCGTCCGAGGTTTCATATTGCTAGTCACTGCACTGTCAAGAATATATTTTTTTTCTTGTACTGGCTTTCAGGTGATTTTTCTAAACTAATACCTCAGTTTTTAGATTTTATTGTAGTGCTGGCACTTTTATATAAATTAGTGGGTTTTGGGTTGCAGTTTTGGCACAACAAGGTTCTCCATCAGTGCCCTTGATGTATTCAAGTAGGGGTTATCTTGTTTTTACAGCTCCTTAATTATAATTAATTGCAACGTGTCCCTGTGGTGGCAATCTGCAGTAACACAAGGAGAAATCTTTCCTGACACCATGCAGCTTTGCAGTCCTTACCCTCTGAGATTAGTAAGCGAAGGAGCAGAGCTGTATTACTGTGGGGCAGGCAACCTCAGGGGAACAGAGTGGGCATACCCTTCCTTCCCGGAACTAAGGGACTGCCCCATGGCAGGGGCCATCACTGTGCTGCCTAGGTGGTGCAGGGCCACTGTGCCCAACTGTGCGATCTTGCTTGAAGGCATTGCTGTATCAGACGAAGGGCTATTTCAACTTGTAGAAATTCAGGTCCATTAGTTAAGTTTAAAATTTTGAGATATTTGTTTAACATATGAACAGTGATATATACATCTATTCAACAGATACTCAACCCTATACCCTATTCATGAAATTCAGCCAAGACGGTCTTTACAATAATTCTGGAGGCTACACATTCCTTCTATTTGTTGATCTGTTGCTTGCATCTTTTGGCATTTTCTTTAAGACTAGAGTAGGGGCTGTTCTTTGTGATCAATAGTTACTCTAAAGCTGCTTACCAGGAAGGAACTCTTACTTTCACAGTGTCACAGAGAAAGCAGCCCTGAATTTGCATTTGTGGTGTTAATAGCAGAACTCAGAGTTTTATATAATCAGGTCTGCTATGACCAGCTTTTTCCTTGGAGCTCTGTTCGATTCAGAGCAACCACAACCTATTGTTTTATCCTGTAAAGTGACCATTAGAGGATTCTTTGCAGGGCAAGATAATTTTAGATCTGAGGTTTCAGATTGCTTTGTATGATTCTCACTGGCATTCGGATCCACTGATAGTTTTGTTGTCAGTTCCTTGAGTCCACTTGCCCACAGTGCGCGCACACAACAACACCATTGTGGTACAGTTGTATAATACAAGGGCACTAAATTCTGTATCATTGTAAATATAAGGATACAAGGCCTCCTAGCACAGCATCTGAGCTAATCGGAATGCATCTATCCCAAAGGAGATTTCATCGTAGTTGGAACCCATAGGTGGAAGCTGCAACAACAGAGAAGAAATCCTGTTTTAGCTCTAGCCATCCGTGTGACCATTTGTGCTACTGCAGTTTACAAAAGATAAGGGCTATCCATGGACAGCTAATAAATAGAGCTATCAGTGAAATATAACTGATACCCATTTATCACCTGGGAGAATAGCATTTTAAATTCAATGGTCAGAGAAACTATATGGTACTTTGTTATATGTTGATCAACTATTTGAATAGTCTACTTTTGTTTATATGTTTTTGTTAAAGAAACCTCTCCCTCGGAGCAAAAGCAGAAATAGCTTCAGATAAAGTATCTCACATCCTTCCAAAAGAAACAAGAATAGACATCGCTAAGATGATGGAAAATCCAGAATTATTTGCAAATAAATTTGTGTAAGTTGTACCTATGTTTATATCTGTTTTGTCTTCTAAACAAAGCTCATAATTGCAGCCTTTAAGAAAGAGAGTAACAGTATTACAATCATGTTTTTTTTTAATTCTACTGCTATAAACCAGCTTTTCTCCACATTGTGACCCCCAGTTTTTTCAAATGATAGCTCCTAGTATTTTTCAAATGATAGCTCCTAACTATTGCCCATAATAGATAGGGTTGTTGGGGATAGGTACAAAACATCTGGAGGATATAAGTTGGAGAAGGCTACTATAATATTGTTTTTTGGCAAATGAATTTTTAACTATTTGTTTTCAGTAGGCTCATTCTGCTGATTAAGAAAAAGTACATTATTCCTTTCCACCACATTTAACTGTTGAGCTCTATCTATCCTTCTGTACTGGACTATGTACTGTCTTGTAATGAAAACTGTGTGGTGCCTGTAGAGTTAGGGGTGAGAAAGAGTGTATGTATTCTCAGTCGGGGATAACATTGTCAGTTCTGGCAACTGAGGAAGGATCGATAGCAACATCTGTATTTCATCTCATCTGCTCCCAACTGATCAGTGATACTGATATTGATGGTATCAGCCATATGCACGTTCATAGTTCTGATGCAGATGTGACTTTTCCATTGTACAGTGCCATTTAGCAGACATGGGACCTCATTCAACATGTTTATGTGCCTGTGCCTGCTCTTGTTGAATCAGACTGAATGCTTTAAGGAACAGGGTGATTCAACGGTATCTGGAACATTGCACTAACTCACCATGGCAGAGTTGGAGAGGGGTGGCTAGGCATGGCCCCTCTGTTTTCTCTACAGTGTGATACCCCAAACATAATTCTCAAGGGATCTCATTAAATAAGGGATGGTCTAAGAACATTTGACTGTGAAAATAACTGAGACAAGAAGGGGAACACAACTGAGTTCAAATGCTTGACCTTTAGTGTTTGGTTGACTATAAGTTCATTGTGTTGTGTAAAATAATTAAATTAAAATGAGGTTTCAAAAATAGGACGGCTAATTTGGCTATAGATTGATTTGAGGAATGTGCAAGTATTGTCCAAATTTTCAAAGTGGAGAATATTTAGCTGGTGAATTAATTGCTGACAGAAATACTTTGGAAATGCCATTAAATTTGCAGTGCCTTAAACAGTGACGAAGCTATGAAAAAATGAAACTAGAATCAGAGTTACAATGCATTTTACAAATGCAGATCTACAAAGACATTTTAACATAACAGTGATATCTACAGCAGATTGTAAATTAACTTGTATTAACTTGTATTTCCTTTTCAGGACACTAACGGAAATATATCCACATTATGTCAAGGCCCCTAGTGATTCCCTTGCAAAACCCATAAAGCAACTCTTGACAGGTATGGGCTTTCATTGGTGAACTGCTTGCTATTTTTAACTAGAGAATCATTTATACATGTTCTGGAAAGCTGACATTTTGTAGCCTAGATTGCATCTGCATTTCTTGAGCCAATGGCTAGTCTCCCATAGATGGCAATAATGAATTCAGTCTTGCTGGGTGGTTGGACCTTTGCAACTCACTATCCTAGAAACTTGAAAATAGCCTTCTCCAACCTGGTGCCACCCAGCTGTGTTGGACTACAACTCTCATCATCCCTAGTCTAACACAGCTGGACGCTACTGGGATGGAGATGATTGCATTAATACAGAACCTTTCCTGGGGTTGTTTTATTTTTCACCATTCTGCAATCCGCCTACATATGGAGAATGTGTGTGTGTGAATGCATGTCTAAAATAAAAACAATTTAATGAGGGGGAGGGGGGAACAGTTTGAATGGGTTTCTAGTCCTGAAAATATCTCTGCTTTGCAGCAGTATCTGAGGCTGATGAGGAAGGGGACTGAGGCAGCCATGGCAGGTAAAGGGACATTTAGGCTGTTCTCATGTAAGAGCAAAGGACTGACATGAGCCGCACTGGGAGAATGTGACTTTCCCCTTGCCTGAGAGGAAAGGAACTTTCTCCTGCTCCAATTCTGCTACAGCTCATGCTGTGAGGTGAGCAAGAAGGGAGATGTGAGTTCACTACACTTCCACTATCACATTCCTCCTGCTGTCATGGTGTTATCATCCTAGGTTCATGCTGTAACCTGATCAGGCAATTGTTCTCCCCTTTCATTCACCTCCTCTAGTGCGCTATCATATTGTTTGATGAGTGAGTTGGCAGTAGTACAAAACGATTTCATTGTTCACATCAGGGATGGATGAATCCTGTTTCCTTAGGAGCTGCACTCCCAGATGTTCTGTAGGGGATAGGATAGAAAAGCTTTTAATAAATAAATAAAATCAGATAGTATGTTTTTGGCACAATGAGGGATATATGCAGGACTACCATTGTTACATCATTTGGTGACCTTTTGGCTCGATTTAAAATAACTGATTCTTGGAAATGGAGTCCAGGATTATGCATAGTTTGCTTCTCAGCCAACATAAATTAGAATTGATTATGTATCAATTTCTTCAACCCATTTTTCTTCTATCAGAAGCACATATATTTATCAAAGATTGGTATCAGATCACGCAGGTCTATGTTTGGATTGATTTTTTACTTATGTACCGCATTTTAACCCTACTTTATTATGTGCTGAGAAAAATTAAAGAACTGTATACAAATCAACAAGCAGAACTGTCTGTTATTGCCTTTTTTAGGTTTTTTAAACTTTTTAACCTTTTCTAATTTTCTGAATCTTAATGCATTTTTATTGACTGATTTATTGATTATTGTAAACCACCCAGAGTGCTTTGGATGTAGGGAGACATAGTAATGAAATAAACAACAACAGCAACTTCCATATGCAGTAATATGGAATATGATAAAATCTGTAATAAAGGACCCATAATCAGCAGCAATTAAGAAAACACAACAGCAAAAAAAAAAGACTTCTGTCAGAAATAAACATAAAAAACAGAGATTAAAAATATATCATCTTATTACAAAAAAGAACACAAAGCTGTCTAAGCAATATTTCAACATTATTAATATACCTTAAGCGGAAGCATATTATGAGTCTGAGGAAAGTAATTCTAAACTTTTAGGAAAAGAACTATAATGCCTTAATTTAAAAAATACTATTTGTGCAATCAAAGACAATGAAAATGTCAATGATTTGGTGGACTAAACAGGTTAGTCACCACTTTGTTCAATTTTATTCAGAATTAGACTCTAGTTTAGACTTTGATGTTACTTAGATGGATATCTGAAGGATTCACAAATGAAAACACAAATGAGAACAATGTAGACAATCTTTGAACTTCAACATTCTTAGCTTTTTGAGGGGTAGTTAAAGATCCTGGTGTTGATGGATTTGTTGCAGACTTCTATACAAAAGTTAAAGAACTTTAATACCAAAAAAAAAAAAAAATCAATGTAATGATGTATTAAACGGGCAAAATACTAGAGCCTTGGAAAGTGTCTCAGATTATTGTGTTTCCCAAAGCAAGCAAAGAACAGATTAAAGATGAGTCCTACAGGCCCATCACACTGATGAATTTTGTTTACAAATTATTGCTCCCTATCATGGTTTCTAGAATGAATAAATTTATTTCTCATTTAGCCCTTTCTATTCATCCAATTCAACTAGGACTTATTCCATCTGGATAACTATTCTTATAGTTTTGAATGATACTCACCATTATAGAAACCTTAAGGAATCTCTAGCTTTCCTGTCTATAGATGCCTGAAAAGCTTTTGATAATTTAAATTGGCCCTTTTTGTATAAGGTGATAGAAAAAATGAATACAGGTAAGCCCTTTATTCAATTTGAATATGAAAACTCACAAGTTCTGATTAGGAGTTGGATTTGATTCAGAAAATTTTGGAATTTAGAAACATTGAAAACAAGGATGTCCATTATCTTCCATGTTGTTTGTTCTTGCATTGGAACAGCTAGTTAATAATTAACTATCAATGGTGCTATAATTCAAGATGCAAGTCTTAAAATTAGCTTTTGATTGATGTTGACCTATGTATAACTGAATTAAAAATTTAGGCTTGACAAAGCAAAAGGAAGAATGACTGCATAATAACATCAGTTTAATAACAGAAACTCATATGTCTGAATATTTGGAATGTTTATTCCCTGAGATGTAAATTATTTTTAAAATCTGAATTATGATGCAGTTGTGCAGGAAATAAGACAAGCCTTGTAGCAGTGGTCTAAATCCAATTTGTCTTGATTAGAGAGAATAGCTGCCATTGAAATAACTGCTCTCTCTAAAATTGCATTTTGGTTTCAAATCAATTAAAATATCACAAAACACGTTCCTCGATGGCCAAAAAAAAGTTTAATATTTTTTTTTAAAATGAAAGGGAAAATCCAAGAGTCATCAGAAGTATTATATATCAATATCCTGCTTGGGTGGCCTCAGAGTACCAAATATCTGTAAATACCATGCTGCATTCCAATTGCATCAAGTTTTCTGCATTCCAATTGCATCAAGTTTTATTGTATAAATATAATATAGCGCGGGTAGAAATAACATTTCTTGGAGAAATGTTAAAATATTTAAAATATTTAAATATTCTAACAAATATTTACTTTGTTAAAATATATCTACATTCCCACGACTAATACAAATCTCTTTTTTGAAATATACATTACAAATGTGGAATAAATGGTGCAAGTATTTAATGCCTCAAATTTCTCCGCTGGTTGGGGAACAATGAAGTTTGCATATGGGTTAGATTTCTTTCCAAATGGCATATGTCTAACAGGGCAACAAATTAAAGACAGCTTATCTCTGGTGGCTTCAAGTCCACCAAATACTCCACCTTTTAAAGACTCCACTGGCTGGGCAGCAAGTTACATGACAGCTCACACAATTTGAAAATTACCTGCATAACTATACCCTGGTTAATAAAGGATTTGTTTCAAAACTCTATAAATGCATCCTTGATACTGCTAATTATAACCAAGGAGGTTTAAGAATAGCCTGGGAACAACATCTATTTGCCAATTTACCAATTTGCAACAATTGGCAAAAAAAATTGGTCTCCCCTGCCATTGCAATCAATCCCAGCTCATACTAAGAAAGCTCAGTCAAGGTGATCTATAGATGGCATCTTACTCTAGTGATGTTTGCAGGCATAAGTAAAAGTAATTTGCCATTATTTCGGAAGGGATGTGAAAGGGGCATGCTTATAGGTAGAGATTAGAAATGAAATTAACAAAAGAGGTGATATAATCCTAATTTGAGTGATTGGTATAGGAAGATGTGGAATTTGGGTTTATTGTACAAAGTGACCCAGCAAGTTGGGTGTCTATAAGACTATCTAGAGATTGATACACTGGAATGTACTTGGTCACCATTTGTCAACTTCATTGATCAAGAAGGAGATGCATTCCACTCTGCCCCAGTGACACATGCCAAAATCTGGACAAGCTTACTTTTCTCTAAGAGATTTGGAGAGTAATATTCTCCGAGAGTTTTTTGACATAGAGTGCTCTCCTTTTTGGAAAATGACTTTCACACTCATGCTAAAGTTGGTGGCCATGACATATGTTTATGTTCTGTTTATACTTGTTTTGTTTTTTAACTATTAGTAAGCTATTTGATTGCTTTCTTAGAATATTTGATTAAAAATCATAAAAATTTATATGTTTTAGCACTGAAACGAATCTGTGCATGGATAGATCAAATACTATTCTATAACAAAATGGATTTCCTTAACACAGTTTGGCCTATAAAGTTATGAAATACAATATGCATTGACGAGGCAACATGTTAAAAGAATACTATTTATATTAAAGGCATATGGTGTCTCACTGCTTTTCTGAGCTAGTTTTGAACTGGGGTACTTTACTTGCCAAACTCAGTAAGACAGGTAACAATAAAGCTGTGGTGTAGGTGAGAGCCAGTGTGGTGTAGTGGTTAAGAGCATGGGACTGGGACTCAGACGATCTGGGTTCTAGTCCCCACTCGGCCATGGAGCCAACTGGGTGACTTTGGGCCAGTCACAGACTCTCAGCCCAACCTACCACACAGGGTTGTTCTTGTGGGGATAAGATGGAGGAGGAGAGATGATGTAAGCTGCCTTGAGCCCTTTGTAGGAAAAAGGCAGTATATAAATCGAAAAATAAATAAAATAAATAAAAGGGCAAAATTGTACAACTTTGGGAAACAATGGGTTTTTTTTTTCCTTTGGCGTAGAAATGAAGCATTTCATTTCACCACAAATTTTAAAAGTGAGTAAGCTTGCCTGAGGACTGAAGAAGAATACCTTTGAGCAGTATGCTGCCCATAGATAGCTGTTTGGCACCCCTGGATTTCAAATTGCCCTGAAATATATTAACAGGTAAGACACATTGATACAAGGTGCTGACGAAATTGTTTCTCTCTTTTTTATCTTGGGTAGATGGGAAATATAAAGACATCAGTGTTTCACTGTCCAGTAATAACCAGTCCGGTGAACATCGTGAATGGTGGGTTCTAAACCAGTCAAACAAATTTTCAGAACGAGACAAGACGAATCTGGAGCTTATTGTATTCAGTGACAAAGTTAGCCCTCCAAGCCTTGGATTCTTAGCAGGCTATGGGTAAGCAAGCATCTCATCCTAATATCAGTGTTTCATGTGACCAATGTAATGGAACTGAAACACCTTTGTTATTCTCTGTAGCATACTTGCTATTATATAAAACAGAACCTCTTCTGAGGCATCCCAGAGAGGTTTTGCAAGACTATTATCAAGAGTAACTAGACATCTTCCGGAGGATGCCTACTATAAGAGATCCTTGAAGTTGAAGGTCAAGAAGTAATAGTAATGGGGGTGAGAAGTTGACTCAATAGGAAGAGGGCCACTGAGCATGCCCTACTCAAAAACCTGGACCAGACATTCAATTCATTCAGGCATCTGCCACACAGCCTCCAGGTTACCCTGACTGGGTTAGTAGAGGTTCTGTGGATATCAGAGACCAATTCAGTCCTGAAGCCTACAAGATAGATGAATGCCCAGGATGATGCAGTGATCCAAAATAGTTGGCACAATAGTACTGCATTTTTTATTTTATCCAACTCTCCTGTATAAAATTAGTGTGTACAAGCATAGCTAGAGCATTTGTACAGGGCCTTAAAGATGTAAAACATGCCCTCTTCAATCTACACTGCTACCAGTAAGTTCAGCTGGGCGTCTAGATAGTCCTTGCCTTCAGGGCAAAGGGTCAAAAATGCTAGGAGTTGAAGTCCAAAATATTTTGAGAGCTACTTTCTCTTTGTCTTGATCTAGCCTCCAAATCTTGGCTTTGTGGCAGTGATCATCTCACCACGCTTATAGTCTTGAGTTCTCTAGGCAGGCCAAATATTGTCTAGGACATTGTTGGACCCTTTGTTGGAACAATAGATCATATTCTGATGAATCCCAAATTCAGTTGAAAATTAGATCCCAAACTTGAGAGTTTACTTTGATTCTGAATGCTTGCTTTTCCCCCTCAATATCCATAGTTCATCTGAAATTGTTGTCCATTTTAAATCATAGTGCCTTGTTGTTCTTTCTTTATAGCATCATGGGATTGTATGCTTCAGTTGTCTTGGTAATAGGAAAATTTGTCCGTGAGTTCTTCAGTGGGATCTCTCACTCCATCATGTTTGAAGAGCTTCCTAATGTGGATCGTATCCTAAAATTGTGTACTGATATCTTCTTAGTCCGGGAGACTGGTGAATTGGAACTGGAAGAAGACCTGTATGCCAAATTAATATTCCTGTACCGCTCACCAGAGACTATGATCAAATGGACTAGAGAAAAAACCAATTGATCTCTCTGGGATTGGCTATGCACGTCAAGATGACTTTATCTGGCTGTTGTTTTTTAAGAAGCACAACATTCTCTTACAAGTGAAGCCTTATATAATTGGGTAGCAGTGACATTTGTGTCCATGGAATCCACTTGGCTTCTTAGAAATCTATGCTGCCTATCAAATCAAATATGAAGAAAGTTAGCCTTTGTTTTCAACCTCAAGTCATCCAGCATCATAGAAATTTGCTTTTCAATTTACTGAACAAAGTATTCGGCATCCATGTCTGACTAAGTTAATACCTGGGCTTTTACTCTCACTCTTAATGGGAAAAGAGAGATATCACAGCTGAATTAACTGGGCCCTCACTTTTTCTGGAGTGATATATTTTGGATCGTGAAATATGCTGCTTTATATCACTGACTTTCAAAGGTGGTCAGAGTTGCCCTTCTAGGAAATCGAAGGCAATGGATCACAGTGGGTGCTGAAGGCAACTTTCTTAAGTGCATTTCTAGAAAATCAAATCTGTTGAAGACTTTGCATATGTACTTCTGAAAGGAAAAAAGTCAGTGACATTGTCATTAACTGCCTTATTTTATTTGAACAATTTGCAGGATACATTGAAAACATCAATGACTTTACTCAGGAAAATAAAAACTGTAAACATTCAACTAATGGATAATGATTATGGTGAAATATTGTGATATTTTGCTGGGCCATTTTCTCCAAATTATTGCTCTCCAGCTATTTAAAAAAAGATCGTTGAACTTTATGAGAAGGCTTTGAGGGCAGTCTTTTTCTCTGCTTCCTTCAACATGCTTTCCCCTATTTTGACATTTTAATGTAACAATCTGACTTGTATCTAGTATTTCCTTCCAGTGTTTCAGGTATACAGTAATGTTTACATAACATTTTTATGTCCACGATGGGTTTTTAAAGTTCCCAGTCATGAGAAAAGTATATATAATGAGCTTGGAAAATGGGCTTTTCTTAAATTATTGCTATTGGTGACCCAGGCTATTCAGCAGAGAATGCTGTAGCATGAACTTTTAATTTGCAATGTAGTTTTCATTCCATGACTTAGAAAATGCAATTTATCATCATCATCATCATCGAATGGGTAAGATACGCTAAAGGGTTATACTGTGTAGTTTTGATTCCACAATGGCTTCAAATAAAGCACATGTTGCAAAGTCATTTTAGAAGTATTTTTTCCTATGCTTGTTTACACTGAATGGAAAACTCTTTGTATAAATTAACTATGTCTCAGTTGTGAAAACTGTCAGTAATCATTGAAAAATCATCTTAGCTATTTATTGTATATTATAATGTAGTACGTCACTAGAAGGTAGATGATATGTACAACTGAACAGGAAAGGTAACAGTATAATTTCTTGCGTGTTTCAATCTAGTCCGTCTTAAATAAAAGCACACAATGTAGTAAGGTCATGACCTATTCACACTGTTTATCTGTTTCCATGTAAACCTTGCTGGTACCTTTCTATACTGTGAAAATTAGCACATTTTGACACAAAAGAAATGCACAGCAAAATAAACCACTTCAGTATATTGTACTAATAAAGCACATTGTGACTGGAACTCATTCAAAGATGCTCTAATTTCCTGACAAACCACAATAAAGCCTAGGCATACTTCGCATATGGTAAGAGATGTATTACTAAAAAAAGATAAAAAATCTAGCTCTTCTTCTAAAATTATCACTGACTGAATCAATATATAAACAGCAAAGAGTCCCATGGCATTGATGTTTGTTCACTTATCTGTACAGAGCCTAAATATATACATGGTGAAACTTGAGCTCCAAATAAATACCTGACAAATCTATTACTACCCTTTTACATTTTGGGGCCGTTTTGCTCCACTGTTTACAGACCCTCCACCCTCTAACAGTGTGAATAAATATACCTGCCACCTTAGGATAATTCTTCATGCATTTGACAAAGTAGACTGTAGTCTATGAAAACTTATGCCAGTAAGCCAACAATACAATCGTTTAACTGCAAAGCAGCATAGGACACACTGGTGTTCCTTTCCCTATGGAATTTGAAACAATTTAGAAAGACAGAATCAGGAGGTAAAGTGGAAGAGAAGTGGAGCAGCATCTGATTTCCCCATTTTGGCGAAGCAGGTGTGTTTGGGAAAGCTACAACAAGGGCATAGTAAAAGCTCTTGTATGCTGTTTGCCCAGCAATAACAGTATTCAGAGGCATGCTGGTTCTGGACCTGAAAATACCTTTTAGCTATTGTGGTTATAGCTGATCCCCCAATAATAACAGTGTTGGACTGGGGACTTGGGAGATCCAGGTTCCACTTAGCTCACTGGGTGACTTTGGGCTATTCATTCACTTTCATTCTAACCTACCTCACAGAGTTGTTGTTGTGAGGCTAATATGGAGCTATGTAAGCATGCTTAGGTTCTTCACAAGAGATAGAAAGGCGGGATATAAATGCAATGTAAAAATACAGAATTTCCCTGCAAGGTTATATGCAATATTAATCCTACTAACAGTTGATGAATTGAAATGGATGTGACTTACATTGGAACGTTGCTCCTTAAATGTAATCTGGCAACATATAAGTGTGTTGCATATTTTCAAAGGGCTACATACCACAAGACAAGGCTATTGGAATTGTGGGCTCCATTCACCTTTCAGTCATCCTAAATCACGCTATCTTTTCCTGGTAGATCTATAGAGAGATCTAGCTTGGGTGGCTGAACTACACACAGCCACCAAATCAGACTGATGTCTTACATTAAATCGCATTTAAATTTTCATTGAAGGAAAATTGTTTTTGTGATTATCTCAATTGTGCATGCATGTTATTTATAAATCATACTCCCCCAGCATACAAAGAAAAAATTGTATGTATCTTTTTTAGAACAACATTGTGTTGCAATTCACCTAGAAAAGAGCCTCAGTCTGTGCCAGGAACATGTCCTGGAACATGTGAAGTAATCCATTGTGTGCAGAATGCTTTTCTCTTGCCGCTGAGTAACTACAGACACTCCCATCACACTAAGGTTTAAAGGTGACTGCAAGACAGATGGCATGGCATCCAAACATGTCTGAAATCTGATAACAGGCTTTAGAAATTAAGTCCCACCAAGAATGGAAGCAATATTTGCATGGAGCAGCATCTCATAGAAGATGGTTCCAAGAATGTTTGGCCATGATAAAAATGAACTCTGTGCACATCGGTGAGGATAATTGGGATACAAAGAGGAAATGTCATGGTATTTCTTTTCTTTCTGCTGGTTGAATACCTTGGGCTATGAGTCTAAGATGCCTCTATCATTCTTCTCATTCATGCACACAAAGACTGTGTACTTGATCCATGCAGACACACCTTGTAGGTCTAATTGTATGGAGAATATTGCACACAGAACAGGCTTTTTGTGAAAGATTAAAACGTGGTGTTTCCCTTATGGTTTAACTGACCCATCCCAATTTCAGTTTCTTTCCATGTAGATAAAACTGTAAATATAGTACATGTAAAATACAAATGCCAAATGCATTACTTAAGACAAGGTAAGATGCAAAGGTTGATTTTGTTATCTGAATTGTAAGAAAAAGCAGTGGCAATGTGACAAAATGGTGGCAATGTAATTAGCAAAACCCAAAAATGTTAATGGTACTAATATTCTTTGTATACTGTCATTATGATATGAAAAGTTCTTTTTCTTGATTAAAGTTTCTTTTAACAATAAGGCTTCTCTGTTGCTGTCCTTCAACAACAAATGGCATCAACGCAGCAGCAATCAAAGTGCTTCCTGGCATTCTGGAGAATGGAACCTAATACACGCTGCTGCCTTTACTGCCCTTCTAAGGGTTTGCATCAAAGGAAACAGAAGAGCAGCATGTTTGCTGCCATCTCTGTTTGATGATGGCTTAGTTCTAACTCTGATCCTTTGAGAAACGCAGAAGACTGAGGGGTCACTTCATGATGCTTCCCAATTACTTTGGGATGGACTACCTTGTGGGGGGGGAGGGGGGAGAGAGAGAGAGAGGTCCTGTGTTTGGAAGATAGGGCTAATATTGCTGCTTCGTTGCAGAGTCTCTCTGTGAAACTGCATTGGTCTCAGGGAGCCAACTTGCTGCCATTTCAGTTAGGGCTTTCCTTGTACTGCCATTTGATTTAAGGTTGATTTGTTGTGTGACTGTATTCTGAAGATCAAAAGTGAGTGTGGCTCCTTACATAGCTGAAGCAGCAGAGTCCATGCACAGAGACAGGGGTATCAGTATGCTTGGGAAAACACCAAGCTTTGCAGAAGTACAAGAAAACAGGGAATGAGAAAACCACACTTGGCTGGCAGACGCCCTCAGAAGAACCCACAGAGAATTGCGCATGCTTAAGGGTGACAGGATGCTGACTATGCAGGGAGGGACATGGGAAAAACAGGTGGGTAATGGCAACCAGGGCTGACTGCAATCATGAACAGGAACAAGGCAAACGGAAACATTCGGCTGCATTTCTTACTTTTCACTATATAGCACATGTGGCAAATAGCTGGCACTGATAGGTGGCTCCATCCTTGCCTACCATGTCAATGCAGTTGGGTGGACTAGAAGGGTTTTCCAGTGTAAGCACAGCACTATATGAGTGCTCATTTTGGGATCTGAAAGCCTTTCTAAAGTTGAAAGGCTAAGCACTGATCAAAAGGAAGTATACCTGTTTTTCTCTGAAGTGTCTGTGAGTTGCACAGATGTGCAGGGCAGTCATTTGCAACGTTCATGAGATGACTGGCTGTAGTGGGACTCCTGCCCAACTTTCCTGTGCATGCTCTGAGTGTTTTCACCACCTCCAATAGTAGCTCGCAGACTGTTCCCCATGTTGCAGGTCACAGAGACAGCCCTAGGCTGCCTCTACATGAGGCCGATGCAGTCCTAACTCCTCCAGGTCTTCAACTTGGAAAGGTCTCCACCCCACAGCACTTAACTGGGGGACCACGCAGTTAAATCTCTTTGATATCATGATTTTAGGCGTCCCCACCCATCCAT